CTGTTTCTCCACCTTCAAATTCAGTACTACTGGTAGATCAAGTCCTTCTCAAGTCACATCCCTCTCATCTACTCTTCTACCTTCTTCTCCAATTTAGGACTCATACATTTAGTTTGTATCCACCCACATAATCAAGTATAACCTCCCCATTTTAAGACCTTTAACCTTAATCACATTGGCACATCCTCTTTGTTATATAAGGTTCCGTATTCACAGGTTCTGGAGGTTAAAGTATAGCCATCTCTAGAAGTTGGGTTAGGGACATTATTCTTTCTATCCTATCATTTATAATCATGAGACACATCAAATAATTTTTGCTGGTCAGAGTGATGCTGTCCCTGTAGTTCTCTCACCCTTGTCATTCTCTACCATCCCAGCTTTAACCAACATAGAAAACACCAGTACTATGATTATTACCTATTACTAAAGTCTAAGCTCAATAAGAAAATATGAGTGTTTGGGATTACAGAAGGTTGCTTGCAAAACAACAACAACAAAAATGGACTAGTGTAGCCCAAAATTTACAGTTTGTGGTGACAGGCAGGTTTTTCAGGTTAAGTCTTGCTCCATACACGCTTGGTAGCTAAGGCAGCACAACATATTGCTGAAATTAGCCAAGTCAGTGTTTCCTCATCTGTAGCAGAAGGCTAATATAGGCATCACAGTTGTGAGAACTGAATGTGGATTCAGTGAAATACTCATCCCTCCCTTTTGCAATCTAGTCCATATTATCACCAAATCATGAAAGCCTTTGGAATGAGATCCAGGTACAATGTTCCTTGTCAAGGATTTCTAAGGTCAGAAGCATGAGCTTTTGAGCCAGACACATCTTTCTATACTTGAATCCTGATTCTATCACTTATCTAGCCTTTTTTTGTTTTAGCTTTTTTAGTCTCAATTCCTTCAAGACCACAAAATGCTTACATGGCAGGATTGCTGCCTGATATAATAGCAAAATTCATTCTGTGTTGGGCACTCTGAATGTATGATCTCATTGTTGTATCTCCACAACAATCTAGTAAGTTAATGTTATCAGTATCTGCATTTCCTAGTTGAGGGAATGGCCACCTATAGATGATCACAGCTAGGAATGATGGATTGGGACTTAAGCCCAGGTCTCTTCTGTCTCAGAAGCCTGGCTTACAACTCATATGCTATCTTGCCTACCCGGTGATATGAATGAAACAATACAAAATGCTCAACACATTGTGGAACCCTAGTAAAATGCTATTCAGTAGGGCATCCAGGTATCTGCAGCCATGTAACAGAGCCATGAGGACGAGCATCTGCTTCACTCTTCCTAGACATCCCCAGCTGGCAATGAGCTACCACACACTAAAATTCAGGAGGGGCAGGAGGGCTGGGAAAGACATTGCACTGTTTGTGTCAAATTCCACTTGTCTAATGGACTTGTTAAAAGCACCCTGGGTGGAAAGTGTGAGTCTTAATGGCATTTTATAAAAGTTACTGTGATGAATTAGCACATAAGGCAAATTAAAAACAGCTTATCGCTTTTTAAATTGGGTGATGGGGCACTGTAGCATTTTTCCCAGACGTGGGGCTCCATTAATATCCAAAGGAGCCAGAAGCTGCTGAAATGTGTCAGCTGCCTGGTTTTAGGAACCTGACAGGTCTTAATCTGTGTAATACTAGAGGGGCAGTTTGTCCAAGATAAACAGAGCCCATGCAAAAGCATGCTGTTGAGCTCTCCAAAAGGATATCCATTGCTAGAGACAGGAGTGGGGGTTCCCCTTCAGGAATCTTGGGAGCAATGGAGCACACTCAATGAATGAATAATCTGGTAAAAACCTCCAGGAGCACTCCTCCCCCTCTCATCCTTACAATAGTCATCTGAAACATTTTCATCAACCATACTGAGGATCTGCATGGGCCCTATGCTGTACTGGTTCCTAAAGATAGAGAGGTGCTTCAGATGTCTTTACATACAGTCCAGAAAACATGTATTGAGTATTCACTGGGGCCAAGCTGGTGTTGCAGAACTTCACATTTATTATTTCATTTAATCTTCACCACAACTCTTTGAGGTAGCTGTTATTATGCCAGTTTTACAGTGAAGAAAATTTGAGACCCAGAGAGGTTACATAATTTGTTCAAGATGGCACGTTTTAAAACCCAGGCAGTCTGGCCCTAGAGCCTACATTCTTGGCACCACATGCCAGCTTTCCTGATGGCTTCTCTATCTCCACTCCTCTCACTCGACATCCAGGAGCTTGGAACCAAGTAAGCAGTTCCAGTACTTTTAGGATAAGAAATTCTGGGACAAGAATTAAGGCGTGAGGGACCTTCACAAATTTAAAGAGGTAGTTAGCTCTGAAGGAAAGATTTAAGATCCTTTCTACGGCTAGGTCATGAGCATGGCCAGAGGGCAACAGTCTAGGAAATTGAGCAATATAATAAAATGGCCATAAAAGTAGTTTTCGAGTCCGACTTCATTTTATATTCAGTGTCTCCAACATGTGACCTGGGGCAGGGCCCTTAGCCTCTTTAGACTCCTTTAGACTCCTCCAGGCTCGTCATCTACAAAACAGAGATACTAACTTTTCCTCTTAAAGTTGTTATGATTTCAAAAATAACAGTAACAACAAAGTGCCAGGCTGCCTCATAAGATCACAAGCAATGGTTGTCATTATATCTGTCATCTTTATCACTCAGTCACCATCACCACCTCCTTCCTCCCAGGTTGGATGGGGGCAAGGTAAAGAGCACTGAAGTGTAACTTAGGTCTGGAGGCTCAAATCCCAGCCCTGGGTTGCTGCCACTACACACAGCCCTGTATCCTGGGGTCAGTCAGTCGGCCTCCCTCGTCTGTAAAAAGGGGATGGTACTCCCTCTCATGCCTTCTTCACAGGAATGGGTCAAGTGGCAAGGGAGTGTATGTAAAATTGCTTGCAGTCTGAAGAATGTGTGCTGGGTTCTACACAACAACACATGGGTTGGCAGTTCTCTACAAGCTTCCACAGGATTCAACACAGACTTGTTACTATGGTTTATTACAACAAACAGATATAAAGTAAAATCAACAAAGGAAAAGATCCTGGGACAAAGTCTACAGGAAATGAGGTGTGAGCCTCTCCAAGACTCCTCTCTCAATGGAGGCACATAGAACATGCCTACTCCTTCCATCAAAAAGCTGGGAGAGCAGGTGTGAAATGTTGTTTTCCAGGGAAGCTCATTAGATACCAGGGTCCAGGGTTTTTACTGGAAACTGGTCACATAGGCACCCTCCGCCTGGAACATACCACAACTCCAGACTCCCAGAAGGAAAGTAGGTGTTCAGCATAACAATATTGTTTGTATAGCTTAGGCACATAAGGTATTCTTGTCAAGAACTAGTGGGAACCCTCCAAAAATCCCAGATGTCAGCCAAAGAGCACCATTGCAAAAAGTCCTTCTTGTGGATAGCAGTCTCAGGCCTGCTTTGTTAACTCTTTTTTGCACAGAGTGGAATCTATGGAAAGGATTTTGATTAGTATACACTCAAAAGGGAAAAGTAGTTCATACATACTGGTTATCACTCTGTGCCAGGCACTGTGATACATACTTTACATAGATTACCTCCTGTAACCACACAACTCTGTATTGGAGGTGCTATTATCATCACCACCATCATTATCATCACCACCACCACCATGTTATATATGAGGAAACTGAAGCCCCAGAAAGGTTTAATACCTTGCCCAAGTAACCAGCTGAATGACTAGTGAGAGTAGAACCAGGACATGGCCCCACCTGTGTGGCCCTATCTGCTATGCTATCCTCTGCTACAGTGCACCTACCTACTGGCAGCTCTATTAGAATGTGGTTGTTGGAGTGATTTTGTATCAAAAACTCTGTGATTAAGCAATGTTACTTAGTTTGTCATATCAGATAGCCAGAGAAGTGAAGCATGAGAAGCAGGTCTCTGTCACCCTCCAGCCCCTTTTCTTGGCTAAGGCTTTGTCTGTGCCTTTGGCAGGGAAAATGGAAATAATCAAAATGGAAATAATTTTTTTTCTGGAGCTCAGACCTGGAAACTCTTTGAATTTCATCACTTAGGAATGGAAGAAGGGCTGTATTATAATTCAACTTCTGTAGTATTTAAGAAATAAACACTGTCTTTGGGCCCTTTTTGGATACTATGACAGCACATGTGACAATTCCTTAATAGGAGGGGAAAATAAGAAAGAAAAGAACTGCTCTTGGTTCTCAATGATTTTAGAAAAATTTATTCTCCAAATCTAGCTTGTTTTACCTGAATTGTAGTCACAGGCCAAGAAAATTCTTAGAATGGAATCAAAGGAATAAATAGGGAGGTGGTGAAATCTGCTTCTCCTGGGAAATCATACGCTGTACATGTGTGGTAGTGAGTTTTGAGAGTGTGGGATACAACAGGATGAAGGCAATATAGGTCTTGCAATAAATTGTCACCTCCTTAAGACAATAGCTTAAGAAAGGTTCTGTTCACCATTGTGTTTCTGCTTCCAATCCACGTACCCACCAGTCATAAAATGCCAATGCATTGGCCTTAGTGAAGGTTCAGTAAAAGCTCTTTAGTGAGAGAGACATGATACAGACAGCAAGTATCATAATTCGGAGTGATAAGTACAGTGATGATACAGGCTTGGCATTTTACAGAAGCAAAATGATTTGTAATAAATAAATAAAAATCTTCATAGCAAAAAGAATGATTTATGAGGTTGTTAATATGAAATTGGTCTACTATAACTCATACATAAACAGATCTGTATATATATATATATATAGTCATTTATTGCATTTTAAACATTCGGGGACCTCTAAGCTACCCTTGCAATCCCTAAGGAGAAGCAAGAACTAACCTCCATCTGTAGCCAAAGCAATGGGAATGTAGTCTGTCATCCTGCAGGTTGAGATCAAAAGATTATGGGTTCTCAGGGCAGGCATGAAAATTCAAGAACATGAATTTTAAATCCATACTATCAGAGATTCCTAACCATGTCCTCTTCTGTCATTTCTCTCAGAGCCATGTTTGACTATGACAAGAGCAAAGACAGTGGGCTGCCAAGTCAAGGACTTAGCTTTAAATACGGAGATATTCTCCATGTTATCAATGCCTCCGATGATGAGTGGTGGCAAGCCAGAAGAGTCACGCTGGAGGGAGACAGCGAGGAGATGGGCGTCATCCCTAGCAAACGGAGGTAAGAATGCTTTTCATACATCAGAATATTAGCTCTTCAGCTAAAGAGGGCGTGGAAATGAAGGAAGAGGAAGATGGAGGAAACTGTTCACAAAATAACTATTTAAGTGGGATAGACAATCTGAAGGAAAATTGTCAGTGGTGACAGGTGACATGAATTAAAAAGAAATCTCATTTTCCTCATATTAGGATTTTACCAAAATTGGTAACTGTGACAAGGCATAAAGGAAAAAAAGAAGATCTGCTTACACTGTGTTCCTCAAACTTTTCCCAGCATCTCTCTGCAGGTGCAAGGTTATGCTCACCAGCCTATATGCTGACTTACCAACTCAGTAGGTTTATTCCAGATGTTCAGCATTTACCAATGAATTTTACAAACAGTGAAAGACAAATAAAGTAGATGATGTATTAAACTAAGTCCCTGGCTATGTAATATCTTTAAATATTGATGAAAAAAAAACAGAAAACCTTCAAATGCAAATATTTAGGATATAAGATGCCAAATACCTGGTAAAGTCTAATGATTCAGTTTATAGCTGTTTCTTTTTTATTTTTCATTGTTTTAGTTAGTCATATTCCCCACCCCACAATTCCCAACAGTCACTTAGATATTTATTTCTGTATAAGTGTTTCTTGATGCCCTTTCCCTTGCAAACATTTCTTCAGCTCTACTTTTGGAAGACAGAAATATGCCTCAGAACAGCCAGTGCCTGCATCTGTCCTAGCAGATTCTAATCATCGCCACTAGAGAACTGTTCTCCCCACAGGTGTCCTTTTGGCAGCAAAATGTTGTCCAAGAAACAAAAATTGACTCTTCGAAAATAGATTTGGTACAAAATCAGGAATGATGGTTGCTCAAAGCAGTCATCAGTTTTGGTTTTTGTTTTTGTTTTTTTGTTCAGTCTGTGGGTTTTTCTAAGAGCTCTCATTCTTTTTTTTTTTTTTTAATTTATTTTTATGTGGTGCTGAGGATTGAACCCAGGGCCTTGCACATGCGAGGCTAGCGCTCTACCACTGAGCCATAACCCCAGCCCCTAAGAGCTCGCATTCTTATGTCCAAAACCCCAACATACCTTTATGAAAACTCCACAGTGAAACTGAATATTCAGTGCTGCTGCACCAAAGTGATATAATGATGGAGCTAGTACAAACCACAGTGAAAAATTGTAAAGTATACCTCCAGAGCAACTCTGCAGGACTCTTCATGACCCAGGGAAGACAGTTCTCATCTCTGCCTGTGGCCACACAGCCCCCAGGGAGGAATGCCAGGGAGGATGGTGTTACAGTGAAGTGAGGGAAACTCCAGGACGCTTTGCCATCCTCCAGGCCTTTGCCTAGCTTTAAGCATCTAGGCTCCTATCATTGCTTGGCCAGGGTATTCTAACTTTGTGGTATGGCTTATAGTGTTTACTGAAAGGCTATATTCAAAGCAGTGACTCTTAGTAATTGTTTTCATTAAAAAAAAATGTTTAAAAATGTTAAACATGCTTTTGGGGTTGCTTTGACATAATCAGAGATGTCTGAAGAGCTCTTCTCTATAAGAAAGCGGTGATCTTATTGAATGTAACCCCAAGGATAGAAATGGGGTGGAGGAATAGACTTCAGCTCATTTTCTAGAAAGCCTTCCACTACTTGTAACTGCCTAGAAGTGGCAGGAACCACATGGGAAGGTATAAAAAGGATTCAAATTCTGGATGGGAGAATTGAACTATGTGATTGTCAGGCCCATTTCAATCCTGAGATTCTGTGAGTCTAACTAATTATGTCAGAAGTCACCCATTTGTTCGTTTACTCATTTTTCTCCTGAGAACCATTTCAGTGTTATTCCTCTTGAAATAATTTTCCATCTGCTGTTGATTGTTCTTTTTTTCCAATTTTGGTGGCTTTTTTTGTTATACATGACAGTAGAATGTATTTTGACATATTATACATACATGGAGTTTAACTTCCCATTCTTGTTCTTGAATTGGCTATTTCTCTCATACTTTGGATAAAACCAACTTAACAAGTACACTGATGCTGGGCTGAAGAAGTTTGTCCAGCATCTGTAATATTGACATTTATTTGCATTCTATTTCATGAAGGATGCAGTAATACTACCTCACAACTATGTTTATTTTATTTTATGTAAGTATGTGGTGTTATGTTTTGTTTCATTTTAGATGTTATTTTATTCATTTATTTATATGAGGTGTTGAGAATAGAACCCAGTGCCTCACACATGCTAGGCAAGTGCTCTACCACTGAGCCACAACCCCAGCACCAACATGTGTTTTTATAAAATAAAATATACCTATTTATTTAAGTATATATGTATTTATGTTTATTTTATGTAAAATTTATAACTGTAAGTGAATTTCTAACAGATTTTCTCCTTAGGATTTTAATTTTTTCAAAAAATTATTGTCACTGTTTTATGTATTTATAAAAGTGTTAGATCTCAGTATAGAAAAGTAGGAAACTTTAGAAAACTATGAGGAAGGAAGTAGAAATCCTATCTCATACAGAGTCCTCATATACTAATATTAGAGCAATTTAAAATTAAATAAATGTATTAGATTGTTTTTAACTCCTAATTCCTTTTTATCCTAGTTCCTGAGTATATTTCAATTAGCAGAGCTGGTCTGGATATATTTCACAATGGATAGCATCTGTATATGTCTTAATTTCTTACAAAAATGTAATGATGTTGATGATTCCATTTAATCATCCCAATAAAAATATAATGCGAAGAATATCAACATTGTCATCCCTCCTATCCTTTCTTGAAGATGATGAATAAATGTATTTAGTAAAATACTCCCATAGCATGCTACCACTATTTGAAGTCCTTTATGCTTATTAACTTATTTAAACCTCATTACAACCCTAAGAGTAAGATGCTATTATTATCCCCATTTTACAAATGAGGAAGAAAGGCTTTAAGGCACAAAGAGGTTAATTTGCCTGAAATTGCCCATCTACTAAGTGGCAGGACTGGGGTTTGAATTGAGGCTAGAATTGCTCTTAACTCATTTGCAATCTCACCTCCCAAAGGTGGAAAAATAAGAGTTGACAAAATTGAAATTCAGTAAGCATTGCTTGGGCAGTGTCTATATGCCAATTGCTGTTACAGGAGCACTGCCTGGGGTCTACCACTTATGAGACTAATGTAACTGTGCCACAGCTACTCTGTGACTAGGATGATGAGGGCTCTCTTGTAAAGGTACCAAGGGAAGTGAAAAGGCAGTAGATGGAGGGATAAATTCTGATAGTAGCACAGATATGTCATAGTTTGGGTTTTTGTTGTTGTTGTTGATGGTGGTGGTGGTGGTGGTAGTGGAGGTTTTATGACTGAATAGCATAGACTAGGTCATTCAAAAAGTATAGAGGTTCATTTAGCTTTCAGTTCTGGAGGCTGGAAAGTCCAAGGTTGAGGGACCACATCTAGAGAACATCTTCTTGCTTGTGGAAACTCTGCAGAATCCTAAGGCTTTGCAGGGTATCATGTGATGAGAAGGTCCAGATAGGAGAGAACCAAATTGCCTTTTATAACAGACCCTCTCTCATGATAACCGGTTAATCTACTAGTACATCATTGCATTAATCCATTCATGAGGGCAGGGTCCTCATAACCCAGTCAGACCTTAAAGATCATACCTTAAAGATCATTCATGAGGGCAGGGTCCTCATAACCCAGTCAGTCCTTAAGATCACCATCATTTAATGGTGATTAAATTTCAACCTGAGTACTGGTGGGAACATTCAAAATATAGCACTATGTATTATGCCAGATGCTTTCAAATATGTGATTTCAATTTAATCTTAAGGAAAGCCTTTTTAAGGAAACAGGGTCAGAGAAACCAAATAACTTGCCCTAAGATGCACAGCCAGGCCCTGGCTGGACACAGGTCTCTCTGGTAGCAATGCTAGATGACTTTCTACTATACCAGGAGCATTATTTTAGGAACACTTCCAATTATGGAAATGGAGTTTCAGAGAACTCAAGTTGCCTGCCAAAACCATGCTGGCAGCAGAGTGCTAAGCCAGGATTCAAACAAACACCTTTCTTATACCTCTATGAGCACCTGCTAAGGTGTGAGCTCCTCCTAGTCCTTGCAGCTCTCAAGTCTGGTGGCACATATGAGGATCCCCCCATAGGAAGAAAAGGAAGCCCATGCCTTTGTCTCACACAGGGAGGGGCTGACCATAACAGTGAGCCCCTGAGGCAGGGCATCTGTGTTACCTCCCTTTCACAAGGTAAGGACACTGTGAGTATAGATGGCAAGTGACTTCATGAATGGAATTATCACAATCAGTTTAGCAGCAGCCTGTTGTTCTATGTATCAGAACTTGTTATAAACAATTTTCTTGAATTGTCTCATTGAACATTTACCATAATCTTTGAAGTCTTTGTTACTATTTTGCCAACATGAAAACTAAGTTCCTAAAAGGCTGAATTGCTGCCCTAAGTCACAGACCCAGTGAGTGACAGAGATAAAATTCAAACCCAGCTGGCGTAATTTCAAAAGCTAGACTTTTAGAATAGAATCTCTGTTTTCCAAGTTCACATAGCTTACGAGTAGCCAAACCATGATCTATCTCACAGTCTCTTGAATCCAGGTGTCCGTTCATTGTTCCACTGTGACTGTTCCCCTGAGCTCTTGGACGACAGCTTGGGTCTAGCATTACATAAGAGTTCGCTCACCTGGCCTTCACAGCAAACCTGTGGCTACTGACATGGATGGTATTTCATTCTCCCTCTGACAGGGCCTGTGGAGCACAGGAACTCCCAGTGACAAATCATGTTCCCACTATACTGTTCTCCAAACCTGACCCAATTATGTGATTGGCTGGAACCTGAAAATACCAGATGGGAGATAGGGAAAAGGGAGAGGGAGACAGTTGGGCTCATTAAAGTATGACCATTTGGTGCTATCTGGAGATGCTAGGTGTCAGAATTGATTGCTCAAATTTTGCCAGCCAGTTTGTTTTTAGAATTTTGGTCAGAGGCAAGGCTAGGGCGGGGAGAATTATTTCTGCTTAAACAATCTAATTAATTGCTTGAGTCTAAGTGCAAGAGAAAAGTACAGCAGTGGTTCTCATTGCAGTCTGTGTATACAGGTGGTCTCACTATTTCTATAAACTGTTAAACCTTAATATCAATTTTTTTCCAAAGGGAACATACTTATTGTAACAATTAGAGAATGTGATGCTAGATTTTTACCAAGATTCTTACTAAGAGAAAAAGTTATGAAACAGTAAACAACTTTTTGTAGGAAACAGTGGTTGTTCAGCAAGTCCCTTAACCTGTCTGAGTCTTAGTTTTCACATCTAGATAAAGAACTAATAGCCTCCTTGAGAATTTATTCACTCATTCATTCAATCAAGATTCTCTAAGCTCCTACTGCATGCCCAGCTCCATGTTCAGTCCTGGACCACTGTACAGATTACAGATAAAATAAGTAAAGTGCTTAGCACAGCTTCAAATACTTTGTGTTTGCTTAAATGACAGCTATTTTCCTTTTTTTTAAGATTTTGAGCTTCTGGTGCCAGAGAAAATTACACCACATTATTTAAGGTTTTATTTCTGATCCTTAATTCTTACTTTAGCAGTAAACTATCCATATCCCAGGAAGAGCTAGGAGAGAGAGTTAGGGGCTAAAGTGGCCATTAAGGGGTTGAGGGAAATACAATGCCACCAAAAAGAGAGGTTTGCAAAGAGCCCTCAAAGGCATTTACCATAGGCCTTTGTAGTGGAAAATCAAAATCCTGGTTACTGGAATGGTAAGGTGTGAGACCAATTCAGTATGTGTGATGTAATTTGCAAAGGAGCATTTAGCTAAGCTGACTTCAGTGTTCAAAGCAAATTTATTTTGAATTTTGAGGCCAGCTCGGTATGGTGTTCAATGATTATATACTTTAATTTTGTTGTGGTTTATATAATTCAGAACATCTGGGTGATGGGGAATACAAAGGAAGGGGATGTTTATCATTTCTCAAAAATTCAGTCTAGACTTCTAAGGGTATGTATGGGTCTTAATCCTATGAATGACCCACCCCAAAACCTCATTTTTTTTTTTGAGAATTTCCCCTAAGTCAGGCATGGAAGGTCCTAGAGTACTGTTTGTCCCAAACTGAGTGGCTGTGGAGAGACACCCATGATCATGTTCAGCTTGTTTCTACCACTTTCTAGTCTGGTAAGCTTCAAGTCTGAGCTCTCTCAGCCCTAAAATGGAGTTGATAATACCTACATAACTGGGTCACTATAGGTGCCAAATGAGATGATATAAAAGTGAAGGAAATTCACTGGTAAAGTTGTTAAAACTTTAGCTACCATTTACATTATCATCATTCCTGCAACTTTGCACCCAAATAAAAAGCAAAACTGTTCCCACTTCCTTCATGAGTGAACCAAAACTTTTACCTGAATAAGCTTTCAAAATTTTGTTTTCCTTTCCTGTTAACTGCTTGAAGAACTAACCTCATATTCACTATGGTTTATTATTAACATATGGATGTGAATTTGTGGGTGCCTTTGTGTCTGACAATATTCTTTGCCAACCTTTTAAGGTTTAAGTGATGAACCAGTATTATTTGGCCTAGTAGGGACATCAAGACAATGGAAAAGGATAAACTTTAGGGAGAGAAATAGAATGCTCTGTCCAAATAATTCTTAGGTTTGAATTCAGGCTTATATTATGTGTATTTGGGGACTGTGTGACTTCTTTGAGTTTCTGCAGAATTTATTTGCATAATATGATCAAACAACCATTCTTCTCCACGTGCTACAGTCATTTGGCAGCATCCAATGAATTAGTAATTACCATCGTTTGCCTAGTTAATTCTAAGTAGCCAGAATAAAATCAGGACTCTCACAACATTTTTAGAAGACTACAAAAGAGATGAATATGAATTATCATTTGCACTTGGATTAAAAGAGAAAAACTGATGAAGTTCAGAATAGGCTTTTTCCCAATGAGCATTTGGCAAGTTAGCTTATCTGAAATTTTTCTTACTTTCCTCCTAACTGTTGTATCTTGGGTTCAAGTAGAAACTCTCAGTGGAACATATTGCTTTAATACCTGAGGTTATATTTGAAAAATGTTGTTCATCTGTTTCCACTCAAATACTCTACACTCAAACTGAAATAAATGTATTCTGAAACTTTATTCTGTAACCATGGAAACCCTGATCTTTACTGCATTTCAGCTGGAAACACAAAGAACTCTCAGTTGGAAGGGAATACGCTGTTAATTATTGATTTATGAATTGCTTAGCTTCATAAACCATTAAGTTCCTATAGATTCAGGGTCTTTTCTTCCCTTGCCCTTATTTTCTTTCCCCAAACAGAAAAAAAAATGAAATTAAGCCTAGCTGAATTTAAACAACAACAACAACAAAATCATGTTACCCCAATGCATTGGATATTATTTTTGATTAACAAATATTCATTATTCCCTTGCTATAATATGCTAATGAGATATATGTACAGTCTTCCCCTTAAGGAACATACAACCTATATGCAATGCAAAACTAAACAGAAAAATCTAGAAATAATATTGACATAGATATTAAATTAAGTGCCATTGTAGCTTGGAGGAAGCAAGGTTCATGTCAAGCTGAAGAAACTCAGAAAAATCAGGAAATATATGTCGCTTCCCTTTCATTTCTGACCTTGAAATATGCACAAGTCCTATCAATACTTTTTCCTTGTACTTCTCCAGCCCTTCCCTCTTCTCTGCCTCATTATCATTTCTTTCCTAACTATGAAAAAAGCTCCTAAATAGGCCCCCTAGCCTCCTCCTATTTTTTACTTCCCCAGCCTATATTCCACATATACCAGGCTCATTTAAAATATTAATTTAATTGTATCACTTCCTTACTTTGTGACCACTAATAACTCATGAGGATTCCTAAAAGGAAAAACCTCAGTCCTTGAAGTGCATTCAGACCATTTCAAGAGACCCACCACCTGGGCTTCTCCTCCACATCCTGTTACTCATACGCATACCACAGTTTCCTGCTATCTTCTAGTGCATTGCCCTTCCTCCTGTCTGGAAATTCCCCGATAAGCTTTCTCATTCTTAAAGTCCCCCATGAATTAACTCCTTCTCCAAGAAAGAAGCTCATCCCAATGCTTTCCACCCCTTTTCACCTTCCCAATGAGATGAATGCACCCACTGAATATCAATAGTCTTACTGAAGAAAAGTATCATTCCTTGTTTACATCTCTGTGTTTGCCAAGGGATCATTGCAGTCATGCTTTTAAAAGATTTTTATTTGTTCTCCAACTCCTCTTTAGTACATGTTTAATGAATGAGTAAAGTGGTGGGTAAAAGGATAAATCCACAGAAGCAACAGAAGAATATTGGGCTTCTTGATAAAAAAAAATTCAAGATTGTACATAACGTATTTGATTATCAAATGAAGCTAAATACAGTAATATTCTTACAGGAAGGGAAGGAAAAAGAAAGAAGAAGGGAAGGGGAGTAAATCTCATTTCATCTTCATTTTAGGTGTTTGTCCCTATGGACTGCAATTTCTTGAAATAGATTTTGATTGATTGACTTAAGCATTTAAAATAACAAATATCATTTTTTCTCCCTCTTTGTTTCTTCCAAATACTATGACTCTCAGCCCATGTAACATAAAATTTTCAAGGGCTATACTAGAAGCTTGGAGACTTTATACCAAGATTTTTATACTAAACAAAGGAAGAGAAATATTTTAAAATAGGTTTTACTTGAGTTGTAAGAATAAGGATAAGGTGTTCTTAATCATAAATGCCTTGTCATATGATAGACTCATTATTTTCCCCTTTTCTTTAGGGTGGAGAGAAAAGAACGTGCCCGATTGAAGACAGTGAAGTTTAATGCAAAACCTGGAGTGATTGACTCAAAAGGGGTAGGTACAAAATGAAGCAAACATAAAGTTCTCTCAGTTGCCATGGATTTAATGATAATTAAGATTTAGACTTATGGCAGCAAACAAATTATGGAACCACTAGATGGTATAACACTGTTACAAATGTATTGCTAAAAGTAACAATGCCATTTCTTATAAAATGAATTTAGGGTGAATATATTAAATACAGAGGGTAAGCTAGTGGTCCTCAGAAATGATGTGTTGATGGAGGTGAGGTAATGACTGCAGTAAAGAAGAAAACACTGCAGTTTTCATGACTTTACTTTTCTAAAATTAACGTTCTAAAAGGTTGGATTTCATAAAAGGTATCTGCTTATTAGAAAACATGTATGGTTTGTTACACATTATAAAGTTAAGACAATGGTCATGGAAATATGCACATGGGTCATTTAAGTGAATATGTGGATTGTTGTGACAGACATAGAAAAGGAGAGAATTAACAAATCTCCAAAATTAAAATATTGAATCACACACAGTACATCTTTTTAATATAACAGCTTTCATGAGATAAAATTTACGTATCATACAACTAACTGAGTTATATTCGGAGTGTACAACCATCATAACAGTCTATTTAGAGTACTTCATCACTGCATAAAGAAATCCTGCATTGGTTAAGTTACTTCCATTTCCCCTAACCTCCTTTCCCCATCCAGCCATAGGCAACCACTAATCTACTTTCTGTCTAGAGATAGAAAATGTGCCTATAGATATTTTATACAAAAGGAATTATATACCATAAGGTCTTTTGTGCCTACTCATTCATTTTACATGATGTTTTCAAGTTGCATTTGTGTTGTTGTACATATAAGTACTTCATTTCTTTTTATTGCCAAATAATAGTCCATCGTGTAGAAATACTTTTAATATATCCATTTATCCTTTGGTTGTTCCTGACTTTTAGTTATTATGGATAATACTGCTATGAACATTTGTGTAAAAAATGTATGTGGACATATGTTTTTATTTCTGTTGAATCTATACCTGAGTTAAATTGCTGGTATCAGCAATATGATAACTCTAGGCTTACCATTTTGAGGAACTGTCAGAGTGTTTGCCATTTCATATTTCAACCAGCAGTGTATGAGGGTTCCAAATTCCCTCCATCCTCACCAATACTTACCATTGTATTTCTTTTTTGCATAGTCATCTTAGTTAATATGAAGTGGTATTTCATTGTGATTTGATTTGTATTTCCCTATGACTGTTGATAGTGAGGATTTTTGCATGTACTTGTTGGCTACTGGTATATCTTTGAGAAATGTCTATTTGGGTCCTTTGCCCATTTTTAGATTTGGAGTTTTGTTGTTGTTACTGATTTGTAGAAGTACATCATATATTCTGGTCATTAATTCCTCATCAGACGAATGCCTTTCAGATAGTTATTCACATTCTCTGTGTTGTCTTTTTACACTTTTGATAGTGTCCTTTGAGATACAAGTTTTTTTTTAATTTTTGACTAAGTTAAATTTATTTAATTTTCTTTTTGTTATTTATGTTTTTGATGTGCTATCTAAGGAACCATTGCCTAATCCTGAAGTTCTATGTTGAAAAGGATTCTGGGGCTATATATAACATCAACAGAAAAAACAGTTATGATTGATTAGTCATCTCTACCACAGTGTTGGGAATTTTCTCTTTTTACAGTCTCCAGATTCAATGATTTTTAAACATAAAATTTATGTCATGTTTTCTTCTAAGAGTTGTACAGTTCTTGCTCTTATGTTTAGGTGTTAGATCCATTTTGAGTTAGTTTTTATATATGGATAGTGTTGGGGTTCCAATTTCATTCTCTTGTATGTGAAGTATTTTTGATTTCATTTTTAGATTGTTCATTAAAAATATGTAGAAACATAGTTTTTGTATTAATCTCATATCCTGCAATCTTCATGAACCCATTCATTTGTTCTAATAGATTTTTGGTAGATTCCTCAAGAATTTCCTATACACAAAATTGTGTCATATGAAAAAAAGAGATAATTTTCCTTCCTTCATTCCAATATGAATGATTTTTGTTTCTTTCTCTTGACCAATTTCTCTGACTAGAACTTCCAATACAAGGTTGGAAAGAAGTGGCAACAGCTGCCATTTGTCTTGCTCCTAATCTTAAGAGAAAGAATTCAGTCTACCATTAAGTATGGTGTTAGCTATAGCTTTCTCGGCTTTTGAAATCTATTTTTTGAAGGGGCAATACTTGTATTATAATGTGTTATAAAATAACACTCTACCTTCTCTCTTCCTATTCTCTTTTTCTTCATGTCTTTCCTTTGCCTTTGCATCCTAAAAATTGTGGCTTTTGAGTATAACACAAAACCACAAGTTACGGTCAACAGGTATCACAATGAAAAACAAAAAGAAAAGATATCATTTCTCACACTTTTGAGACTCAAACCACAGTGTTACCCTTTGAATTTAAAATATCAATGGGAAGTCCAGTCATTTATGTAATAATTTATTTTCCTAAAAATATTCAGGTGAAATAGAAATTTATTTAAGCATTTTGGGGTGTCATTCTTAAAAAAAAAAGAATGAAAAGATGTGATATCATGACTGTCATGATGAATACATTGTTGTAACCAAAATACCCAACAAAAAAAAATTAGAAAAGAAAAGGTTTATTTTGGACTCACAGTTTCTAGATTCAATATGTGGTCAGCTGACTCCCTTGCTTTTGGGCCTGAGGTCATTCAGAACATCATGCTAGAAGGGTATGGCAGAGGAAAACTGCTCAGCTCATGACAGATGAAAGCAGAGAGAAAGGAGCCAGGGACCAAATACCTTTCCCCAAGGACTTGTCCCCAGTGACCTACTTATTGCAGCCATGTCCTACATGCCTACAGTTAGTCTTCCAGTAATCCATTCAAATTATTAATCCATCAAAGGGATTAATCCACTAATTAGGTTACTGTTCTCATAATCTAGTCATTTCACATTGGAATATCCCTGCATTTTCTATTTTATGAGATCTTGGGATGACACCTCATATCCAAACCATAATAATGACATAGAATGCTTTCAAACAAATACTACTTAAATACAAGAAGGTAGGATTTTTCAGTGATTTCTCATGATAATTTAAATATAGACCTGTTTATTTCATTTGTACAGTTGATCTATAAAAGAGAATTTACATTGAAAACCTACCAAGTGTCAGATACAGAATTAGGACTTATGCAGGATACAAGTGCAGCATAGATATCTCTCTCTCTCTCTCTCTCTCTCTCTCTCTCTCTCTCTCTCCCCTCCCTCTCTCTCTCTCTCCCTCTCTCTCTCTTGCTAAGATTTATATATCAAATATCTTTTTGATAAAGCCAAAGCATGCATGGTATGATTTTTAATTGTATATGTTAAATACCATTAAGTATTTAACACTGAATAGAAAGTAAATTCTAAGATTTGAATGACTATTGAAGAAGAGTAAACGTGTAAGTGAAACCTGGGACTGAAAGTGAGGGGGATCAAAACCTGAGCTCTGGTTTCAGTTCATTACTAAGTCACTACTGCTCTTTGGGTCTTATAAACAAATAACAGCTTTGAACTACATCTGGGACATTAAAACAAGTTTCATCTCCTATGTAGACTGAGGGATTGATAGTTTTTACCTGGTGTAATATGTTGAAAAAGATTCAGAAGCCATATATAACATCAATAGAAAAGGCGTTATGATTGATCAGTCATGTCTAGCATAATGTTGAGAATTGTTCTCAATTTTTGAGTCTCCAGATTTGATTAAATTTTAAAATGGAATCCATCAGTAATCCTCCATGAGATTTACTTATGCATTAATTGGTAATAAAACTAAATTCTTCTAAATCCTCATGAGAACAGTCATCACTGCACTTTGTTTTGTCCAGAAAACAAAGTTCAGAGAAAGCACACTGAGGAAAGGAGACAGTCTCCCCAGCCCTATGAAGAGTTGGCAAAGCTGAGTCATGAGATGCCACTCACCTTGAGCCAAGGGCAAGGATTTCAGAAATAAATAAGTCATTGTTGCAGAGACCTCAGTGTCTGAGACCTTGGAGGTAAACTCAGGATAAGCTGAGAAAGAAATTGTTTGAAAGGAGAAAGAGAATGGAACATTTTAAATAATCTTATCATTAGCTGGCATTTACAGAACATTGTGAAGCGTCCTGAGTAAAAATCGTGGCTATTATACTAGAGGAAGCTTTGAATCCATTAGTATCTGTGGATCAGGCTGTGGCAAGGGCCTTACTAGTAGTATGTACAAGAGCTCTGAGAATTCAGATTAATGGGCAGAGGAATGACCAGAGCTCATCATAGAAGAACTTGAACTTCAGTTAGCCTTTTGGTGCTTGAGCTTCTTTTCCATGACTATCCATTAATTAAAAGAACATACACAACCAGGGTAACTCCGCATCATGTACAATCACAAGAATAGGATCCTAATTAGAATAAGTTATACTCTATGTATGCATGCCAAAATACATTCTACTGTCATGTATATCTAAAAAGAACAAATAAAATAAAAAGAAGAACGTTGAGTGCTGCAAAACACCATGCTCTGTGCTGGATGTCTTGTGGGCCAGGAAACAGAAAGACAAGGTCTCTCAGTGAACTCTCAAGAACAAATATAGGCAGGCAAACAATAGCAATACATATCACTGATGATTCCATAAATGTAAGTGATTAACAGTTTTTATTTAAAAATCAGGACTGAGCCTCAGGAAGATTAACTGACTTCTCTAAGTTAGTAGTAGGTTAGTTAGTAGTAGGTGCAAGATTCAGTTTTAAATTCAAACCATTTTGACAGAAGAATGTCTGCCCTTTCCATTACTTCACGTTATATTCATTAAGTGTTGGGTAAGAAAGAAGCAATAAAAGTATAAGAGATATTTGAGCAGGATCTCAATGTTTGAGTAGGAGTTCGTCATACACATAGAAAAAGCATTAAAGTGATCATGGAAATTGCAGACATGTTGGAGTTAGGTGAGGCAATCCAGGGACACTAGTTCATGGAG